GTTATAATTTGCTTCCATATCTACCTGTACAAGTATTAAGACGATACTATGACACTATGAATCATGACAACGCATTAGTCTAAGGTCAGATCGAATATCAATCACAGTTTGGATAAAATTAAGGTCCGGTATCTTATTGGCTTTACTTTTAACTCGGAACTTTGTTCATACTACAGAGATCTCATCCTTTAGTGGAGATCAAAACAATTCTAAATTTTGGATTGCGATCTATTTTGCCAATTTCCATTCATACAAACGATATAATCGTTTTGATTTACATGATATATTAGATTGGCTTTCGTTACCACCATTTGCTGGCTGACGTATACGAGAGATGCAAGGCTATCCGCCCATAACGACAGGGTTCGGTCATCCACGAATTGTCGAGACCTTGACTCAGTTTTCAGTATTGCCTTGGTCTCAAATGCATTACACAATTGAGTGATTTCAGTAAACGCTATTCACGACCATATGTATGCTTTTTGCAAACAATTACCGCAAAGTGGATGAACTTTGTCATTGGTGGCATTTTGAACAACGGCTTCTGTAATGCGCGCCTCGCCAGACTCAGTGATTGGCGTCAATAATCATTATTAATTATTAATCGTATCTGCATGTGGAGATTCCATACCACTAAATTTCAGGCGTCTATTCATATACCTCTGACATCACACGTTAATTGTGCTGTTCTATCACTCAGGATGTGTGCGCAAAGGCGCTTATTACGATGCCCGTATTGCATTGCTTTTTTTGATGCCGGCTGAAATGACATGAATAGTTCATGGGACAATTACGGCTGATTTATCAACGGTCAAGCTATTCACTAAGAGAGGACAGATTGAATAAAACTTTGTGTGCATTGGGTTTAGTGAGAACACCACATCACAAATTAATGAAGTGATATCACCAAAATTAAATTTAATAGAGAGTCCATGACCCAACTATGGACTGTGTAGTTTCCGCTATTACAGTCCTTTCATCAGGCATTACAATTGGGAGGCATGTAATATGTGCAAAGATATTGCAACATGAAGTATTGCCATAGTTTTCTGGGATGAAATCATACATATTTTATCATTTATCCGAGCATGTTCACTTCTCTGCAATGTGTACAGTCTGTGCACGATTATAAGAATGCTTCAAGTGTTCCCAACTACCGTAGTCTGGTGTATGATCATATTAGTGGGAATGGGCAATGACGAAAAACATCCCTAATTCTGTCAAGCTCACCATGGTTATTTTTGCATAACTCTCATATATTTTATATATCTCGCTATAACATTGATAGTTAATCCTGTTACTAGCATGTAGACTTATGTGTCTAGCTGTCGTTGGTATATAATGGCCGTGTTTTTCTATATACAAGCTGGTTCAGCGGAAGAACATCATTTATTCCCCCTTGCGCCATATAGAGCGGATGATACTTTAGGAGAGTGGATAATGGCTACTTTCCCAACTCGACGATGAAACATGTTGAGAAAGTTGAGAATTCTTTCAATGTATTTGGACAAAACTTTATAAAAACATAGAGAGCCCTGGTCATGCGTTCAGACGAACTGCAGCAGAAAGAAAATGATTGGAAAGGAAAATTTTCCGACCCGTTGACATTGGTCATGCAACTGCATGACCAATGTCATAATAATGAAGCTCAAAAGCTGGCTATATCCCAACAGATATTCTCATATTACTCCGGATGAAACTTTAATATTGGATATTATTAGAAAATAATCTGTAGACTCGCTTCAAATTCTTGTATCTTGCAACTGAGTTGATTAACTATTTTTCATTCCAAAGATATCAAAGACCAGTATTATCGCAGTGTCGACTGTTAATGAAGTTCTTGGGACACGAGGGATATGTGACCGAATCAAGAGAATGGGATTTGATGAAACAGCAACAGATAGTTTCAGGTTGCATAGAACATGCACACGTCTACAACAACAATTTCAGAGAGATGAAATGGCTTACATGCCGACACCGCATGTGCTGGAAATCATCACGGAGTTATTTTACTTGCTCTTGTTCCTGCTTAAAGGGTCCAGAAATTACGATATTCAAGCGCTTCAATAAAAATTGTACATAAAAATTAAAATAGAAATATGGATCAGACAATGTATAAGAACATACTGTCGAAAGCAAAGCCAGACAATTGCAAATTATGCAATTGTCTTATGCAATGCAATTTAAAAATTGCAAATAGGATCGAAATAAATGCTTTTATTCAGGATCAGCTTCATCATTCATCAGCCACTTTCAGTCATTATAACATTTTTAGGTGCAGCTCCTGTTGGTGGAATATTGGCACGCTATAGAGCTGCTGTTCATCGCTTAAAAGTCTTCAGTAAAATTGCAGCAAGAGGCGCTGCACAGACGGGAGAATAAAACAAAATGCGTACGAACAATGGAGAATAAAATAAAATTCTGCTGATTATTGTAAAGAACTACGGATAGATCATTGGAACAGAAACAAGTCATTGATTATGCATTAACACCCAAGGAAATGACTACTGACTCAAATTATTTGCTAATGACGCACGATATTACAGCAACATTTCCTTTTTTGACTTCACATTCCTTAATTTTGGCAACCTGTATAATATTTTTTTTTAATTTAAAATTGATTGAATTTATTTTCTACATTTGAGCGCATGCATGCTCCACTAAAATTTAGAGAAATGTTTTTCATATTGGATGCGCTAGACCTCCTTAGGCTACAGCATGCTTTTGTTATGCGTGAATTTTTACATTTCTTTTCATTTTAGTGCATGTCTATGTTTGTAAAAGATTTTAGTAGGTCAAAACGATGACCATCAGGACTGTTAGGGTCATTCATGCGATGAAGCGCCGATGAGGCAAAAGCAATATTGACTTTCACTCGAGCAGAAAGAAAGTGAGAAACGTAGCGTTTTTGCTTTGGATCATGAAGGTGGAGCTGCTTGTCGGTAACTCTTACTTAATTACTTATAACTATGAGGCTAAGAATAAGGCGTTGGTTGAGAACAAGCTTTCATTAGTTGCTTGCAAAGCCTGGTATGATTCCTCACCTTCAATATACCTATAACCTCCCGTACAGTTGTTTCGATTTTATTTCCATTGGATTCCGTAAACGGATATGGTGGAATAATAAAGAAGTAAATTGACATACATATACTAATATATCTCATAGAATATAACGAGTTGATAATCCACACATCGGCGTAAATTAACGAATCAGTTCCTCCACTCATCACAAAATCTTGGTGGCTCAATCAATTTTGCATGAATAGTTCTGTGCACAGTAATACGGCTATTTGAAAACGTTGTGTTGACCTGCACTGGCGAATTCGTTTCTGCAATTGTTGTTATGAAAGTTAATTGCTCGAGAACTAGTTTATTTGTATATGCACTAAAAAAGCTTATTATTATAAATGTAACTGTAAATCCGTCGAGGCATCAACCCAATCAAAACATGCCCTGATCGATAGATGAGATGGGTGGTGCTTGCAGCATAGTCTTAGGTTGATGCCCCTAACCTATCGCTGGTACGTGTTACCTGAGATGATTTTAAGGCATTAAGGCATGAGATTGATGAGAACAATCTCCGAATTTTCGGCACTGACTAGCTAGGACTTGATAGGGGGAAACCTTAGCAGTTGCCACACAACTTTTATCACTGGCGGCTAAACTAACGCTAAACATATTTTGAATCAATCGCTAAGCTTCTGCTTATTTTCTTTAATGTGGATTCACTCCAAGAAGCTTGTTTTCAGAGTTCTGTACTAATCTGAACAAACCCACACGAATCTACATTACTCGCCACATCGTCGTTGGAATGCGGAATATAATGACTTCATTTCCGTTGACTTGGTAGCTGCTAAAAGACAAAAAAAAAATACGGATCGCAAGCAAATACTTTGCAGAAAAAAATATATAGCTAGAGTGGTTATCAGTGCAGTCATTGGAAAAGTTTGAGAGTTATTATTAAAGTTCAAATTTTCTTTCTTTTTTGTTCTCCATGCAATCACACGTGCGCTAGACTGCTTACCGTAAACATTTGCTAGTATGCGGATAACGCAATTTTTCCTCACATGACTTTTTATCTATCAATCACCTCCAATGATGTTTAAAAGTTGTGCTCATGTGCTGGGTTGTTGGGAAATAAATGTTGCAAACTCGAATGATTATTGATTTATATCTTTTTGGAGGTGCCGTGGATGACCTCGACCTCGTAAACAGGTCAGGTGTCACACCTGGACATCCAGGACAATTATTGTAGGCAGGCGTCTCGAGTTCACGCTTGAAGGATCTTCAGCAATCACGAATTGTTTTTAAATAATTTTCGGTTAATTATTCTTAATTTTAATTTTTAATTTTCCGGAAATGTATTTAAGGAGAGATTGTGAAGTTCTAGGATTTTTATTATCCGTTAAATATTATTCTAAATTGAAAAACTCAACGATCGTTCCAATTTATTTTGAACATTGTGTTTTATTCTGATAGAATGAGTGCATGAATTAGAATTTACCTTTATGGCACTCACTGCTCTTGAAAGTTACCATGTTAATTTGCCCTTAATATTCCAAAGTGGCACATAAGGCGAGAATTGAACAGGACGGAGGCCACGGTGCCTGTTTAACACGATGACCTTTAGCGCCGCTTTCTAGTGGCCAATGTTATTCCCTCTGACCGAAATGCTGCATCCATGCAAGGCACGATTGTGAATCATCTACATGAGAGTAAACAAAGTTTTTCTTCCGAATCTGCATCGCCGAAATGGAAATTCTTACTATGGTGCGTTAGGACTAACCATGTATTGATAATAACTATCTTTGCTGTGGTATCGTTCCGATTCATGGAGTGAATGAATTTAAATGATACCAACTGACAGTAATTGTACTTTGCTCTCGAGGCCCTTGTATAACTTAAGGCGCGATTGTGGCCTTTTTATAAGCTGTTAACTGATATTCAGGCAATCGCTGAAGTTTGCGATTGATAATTGGGTAGGTCAAACAAAAACAAACAATAAATACGAATGTATTCTACTCTGAGACAAACACAAATCCAAAGCTTCATTTTAAAACATGAAGCTATGATATAATCACGTTCATTTCCTGTTGTGAAAGCTGACTAGCTGCATTTTTTTCTGCTGTGATGAATTTTAGTCGTAAAAATTTTTATATTCGTTGAAATTATTTAATAAATTTGAAAGAGAATTTCGCAAGGGAGATCGACTTTTAACAGGCGTAAAATGAAACTGTACATTTAAATAAACTTACAATTAATGTCAAGTTATTGTGTTCTTAATTACCCGAGTTGCGGAACGGCGTATCTGAGCGCCGGTCTCACGGCCTCTTCGCTTTTGGCTTCAATTTCCACGCGTCCATCATCGACCTCAACCTCGAAGTTACGTGAACCTGCGGCGAAACGCGTGCCGCGTGAACTAAACGTGCTCCTGCCTTGAGCTCCTCCGTTGGCAAAGTCAGCATTGCCTTGGAATGAAGGCAAAGGAACTCCGACAGCGCCAAAGCCGTTGGCAGTAGCCTCTGGCTGTGCTGCATCAAAACCTGCGGCGCCGTTGAAATTGGATTGTGACTGTGCCGCATCAAAACCGCCCGCGCCGTTGAAATTGGATTGTGACTGTCCAGCATCAAAACCACCCGCACCGTTGAAATTAGATTGTGACTGTCCAGCATCAAAACCTGCGGCGCCATTGAAATTTGACTGTGACTGTCCAGCATCAAAACCGGCGGCGCCGTTGAAGGTTGCCTGAGGTTGTGTAGCTGACAAGGGCACTCCAACGTTGCCGGCTCCATGAGCAGGACCTAGAGTAAGCTCAACGGATGATTCGAAAGAGTCGTCTCCTTTAAGAGGGCGAATGGCTTGGCTGTAAGCAGTTTCAAGATCGAGACCTCCAGGAAGCTGTGGGTTTTCGCCTTCCTTGACCTTGACGTAGTAGACCTCAGGATCAGCGTCTGGGAAGACTGGAGCTGAGATCACACCACTTTCAGCGCTCTCATCTTCAAGAACATAGACAACCGTCTTCTTTTGTGGCGGGGGAACGATGTGGGGGCGTTGGGCCTTGGCAGGGCGTGAGCGAACAAAGATGATGTTGTAGTCGAGTTGTGGCTCAGGAATAATAGCGGGATCGATCGACTTGGGTTCGGGCTCTTCATCATTTCGGCCGAAGACGAAGATGTTGCGGTTAATTTTGGGAATCACGCATCTGGTTCCGTGACGAAGTTGACCAGCAGGGCATGGGGCAGTTGTCAGTAAAATTTCATCAGATTCGTGGCTATCGAAGCCATCATCATCGACCTGTACCCTGAATTGGGCGTTTCCTCCTACGCTCACATGTTGGACAGTAGGCTGTTGAGCGGTTCTGGCAGCTGTAGAAGCAACTCCAGCTTGTGAGGTAGCAAAGTTACCAACTCCTTGCAAACTGAGGACATTTTCTCGGCTGTCAAAGTTGTCATCGTCCAATTTGACTGTGAAAGTTTGTCCAGCGTTGCTGCTGAGCTGACGAGCGGCACTGTGGAGGTTAACGCTGTTCTGTGGACGGCGGATGATGTACCGATTTTGTGGGACGGGGACGGCAAGAGTCACCGCCGTTAGACATAATACAATCTGAGGGAAGAAAAAGACATATGTTAAATTCTAAAAATAGTTTACTTATAATGATTTAATATTCAGCGTAATATGTGTCAGTTGCAACGTGTTCTCGATGTTATAAGTTAAACAAAATTTCATTTTTGCCTACATTTAATATTTTGACCCTATATTCCATTCATTTCAATACAGAAGTAATTTTTAAATACGTTCTTTATATCTGTTACTATCGAATTTCTGTCATGCTATAATTGCCGCACAGCCTGCAAGTGTTATGGCATTAAATTATTTCAAGTCGTGTATTCATCTCTGTTCTCATTGATACTCGCTGAAACGAGTAAAGCTGATGAAAATTTGTGCTTTCATTCTTGGCAAGCTATTTGTATACTGTTGGTCTTCTTATGCAAATCACTATTACCACTGTCGATCGTCAAAGGTGGACCAGTTTTTACTTCCTTCTGCTAGGTTAAGCAATAAAAAAGTCGGGCTAGCGACCGAAAGTAAAAGTTTGCCCTTAATGGCCGCGATGTGGCTGGGAGCAAGGGAGTCGCCTCTCAGTGCAGCTAGAATTGGTGTGGCCTTATAACGCAGGAAAATTTATCAATTTCCAACCTTTCAAGAATTATTGGAACTCAATTAATTCATAAAAAAAATTATCATTATTTAATGACTTCAAATTTAATGACTTCAACGAATATCAGTAAAATTAAATGATCCAAAATTTAGCAATCCCTGACATAACTGAAATTACATACCATCCTAAGAATTTTAATGAAAGATTCATAAATTAATTGAACAGTAAAAGCTCAAGCTGCCTTGATATTACAGTGCATAGTCTACGTAGTCTGAAAACTCGAGCAAAAACATAACTTTTACTGTGAGGTCAGCGCGGCGATATGGGCGTGGAGTGTTCAAGTGAACCATGACCGCCTGCCTATGACCATCACTTCATTTCACTCAGAGATATTAATGGGGTCAAATTGTCCAGAAAATGATACACTTTCTTCGCGTAGCACTGATACGCCTTTTTTGTGAGTGTATCAGGATGACTCACACAAAAGCCGAATGTGCATCGCCATTTGAGCAATTTCATTAATTTCTCTCAGTGTTCCTCGCTCATCACTTCGAGTGCAACAGTTTCTTTCTCTGTCGCTCCAGCAAATTCTGAAGCTTCTTCAGAGGTTATTTCGAATACATCAGTTAAGCCAAGCAGCATGTGGTTGGAAGAGCTTGGATCACTGAAATTTTGCTTCAAATAACCTTTTGAATCTCTCTAAGTATTATTGAATCAATTATTAGATTTTAAAATTGCAGAAAATAATAAGAAATCCAATAACATCCTAACTATCAGCAAAAACACATCTATTTTCATTTGTTGGATGAGGTACTAAGATTTTAATATAAATTGACAGTTGATTTATTGTGTGGTTTATGAAACTCGAATTAAATATAAAAAATATAGGGTCCGTCTCGTCGCAGAACATATGTAGCTTTTCAAAACAAGAAATAAGTATGGAATTCGAAAAGCAAATAATGCAGTTTATATTTTCATTTCCATGCCATACAATGCTGGATATGAATTTTCAATAGCAATCTACCTTGGTTTATATGAGCTTATAGTGTTGAATTTATCATGAGCTGAAAATATCTTGCTTCTCCAAATTGTGTCTTAACGTAATGCTCGCAATAGAATAATTTCGCTGCGTATTGCGTTTAAACATAACAAATTGCAGCACATTGGAGTTGAATCATCAATAATATTTTATCTAATTATCAGCAAGTCATTTGAGGAACAGTAAATTCCTAATGTAATCTTGAAATCACCACTCAAGCTCTTAGTTCTACATTTATTCTCTTACTTATTTCTGATACAGACCATCCGGTTGAACCTTTTGTACTTCCATTAAACCACTTGCACTCACGCCTCATCTACAACACTGGTAGATACTTATTTCAGATTCACTAAATATTTTTGCCTAACCCAAACGATATCACTTCTCTGGATCACTGGTGAAATATATTACATAGATGTATCGATTTAATCGATCGCCACTCACCAGAGCCGTCAATTTCATGTTGACAGTGCCGAGGGTGTCCGACGAATGAGGGTAGAGCCCGCGTACCCTTCTTTATATATGGCCTCTCTCTTCTGCATGACGCGACTACAGCACCGGGCAAATCTTGCTGGTCGATTTTCTTTGGTGGTTGTGCCCTTCCTATATCCTTCTCATTAGCCTATGCTTTATTTTCAGCTGTTACTTTTTTCTCAGTCAATGATGACTTCGGAAGAGATTTCTCTTAAGTTTGCCGCTGACTCTTTCTAAAGGCCCGTTTTTCAATCCTTGATAGCAATAGCTTTCAGACCTAGTCATACTTATTTGTGTGATAAATGACTTGATAAACGAAGAAAAATGTGCTCGTTCTTCCCTAAACTCTGAGATCTTGAAAAGCGATGGGTTATTTTCATCAACCATAATGTCCTACAACATTTACATATGTTGAACGAATCGAAATTTCTAATTCGCTATTTAGCGATTCTAATGTGGAACGGTGATTCCCTTATAAATTTTATTTAGCAACATCAGCAGCCAAAGATTATGTTGAAGCCCACCTCTCAGAGGTTATAATTTTTATTAACTACGTTAGTGTTTTTAGTATTTAAATTCTTCGTATTATGTACCTATACTAATTTGATGGAATCTGAATTTTTGAGGAACTCAACTCAGAATTATTGACAAAATCGCACTGCCTTGCAGCGTAGGGCTCTTATTAAACTCGATATTTATTTAACTTATTGTTCTTATTAAACTCGATATTTATGCTGCGGGCAGAACTTGAGACGCCAGAAAGTTTTTCAAACTTCAAAGAATTGCTGGCATTCACGCATAAGACACGGTTCGGCTCACTGCATAATAATATTGAACTTCAAACTTATTTTTCTCGTGACTTTCGTTCACGGATTTATGTACTCATTTAATTTGTGATTGGATTAAAGAAATATAGCGATTATTATGGAAGTAGCCCAAAAATTGTACGTTGGAGCCTGCAGTTATCTGAACTATTTTGTCACGGGCGTTATCGACAACTCAGCGCATGGAATGTCTTGGTCCAGATCGATTATTTGTCGTTGTTCCGCTTCGTTGGGATAAGCTAGGTTGGCTATTTGAAAAGCTGCATTTTTGTAGAGGTCGATCGGTTCTAGTGCGGAGTAGAAAGGCTGGGCTGCGGTCTGTCTTTTCGTCAGTACCGCGTTTTTACGGAGCATAAATTTGCGCTTACGTGCTTTGCGGCATCAGTTATGGGACTGGCTAACTCCCATCATTTTTTGTCAGTATCTGAGAGACACAAGATCTTTTTGATTGTCTTCTTCATTGTCCGATGCTTCGGTTATTATTTCTTTTTATTTTTCATACTAATCATTTACTGATGCAAGTGATGTAAGCATTTCAAGTTCATAAGATCTTGCATTTTACCGCCAATTTTCGAACAGTACTAAAAATAAGAAGTTTCTGGCAGGATCTCCATTAGGTCTGGTATTTCAATTTGCCGCGGCAACTTGCGTCACTGGAAACTCATAATTAATCAAAATCTAATAAGGAATTTGCGATCACTAATATATAAAAATATTTTTTTAATTCATTCACCCAGAAGTATTCGCGCTAATACTTCTATTCTCAGAAGTATTAAGTGGAAGCCATGTCGTGTATAAGATTCGATACGATAAGCCATGTCGTGTATATTCAAAGTCGTTGATATTTGACATTATTTGAATTTATGCACTCTTTTATTTTTTCCGTTTATTTCACTTCCTGATGTATTTTTGCAGAAATTTAGAGGAAAAATGTTCTAGACGTTCCAGCATATTGTTCTCTTGTCTGTAATTCGCTAGCATGAATATTTTTCGACTACAACTCAGAGGCAATTGTTGAAGCTTGTTTAGGTCTGACCGGTCTCGATGCTGCGAGTTCAGACCAACACCCATGATTAGGTGGCTCACTGACCCTCAGAATTAAACCTCATGGCTTGCTGCAAATATCATGCGTTCATAACTTCGGTGAATGTTTGTGCACAAAAACATGCTTTGTAACTGGTGTTATATAATAATAATTAAATCAATTAGCCAGTTATCGGTCGAGTATCGGTTTTTGATCATTTAATTTACGTAATCATTGCTTCTCGTCCGTCTTAAAAGATTAAACGTACTTTGTATAATTTAACGTTTACTGCTAGGCTAATTTTTATTTTTAATTTCATCGCGTGTTCTAAAAACTAAAAAATGTAATAGTTACTTTCAAATAAGTTTTCAGTAAACTGTTTTGCTAGGTTAAATTTCAATTGTCCTGCTACGATTTATTTCAGTGGTACAGTGTTAACTAGTGCGAATTCAGACAATATTTTCTAAATGATTTTTTTTTCTCTAAGGATGGAAGTCGGACACTGATTTTAAATTTTTGTTACATTTTTTATCATTCGAACTTGACCTCCATAAATCGGAGCTTTCACTATTTTTTACGTTATGTCGTTTTTTTTTCTTTCTTTTTGTTCAAGTTTTTGTTAATGTTTCATTTCTAATCCATTCAAAGTTGCATCTTTTAATTTGAATTTTGTGTTACGTCCTTGCGGTGGTGAATTTCTCTCCTTAGTGGAGATTCAAATGGGCCAAATGATTACTCTGGGCATGACAAAGCGTTTACAAATGAGTTCAGCTGAAGCTGGTTCACTCCACTTCAGTTTTGCCAACCTATGACGTTTACGAATACCGATCAATTATTTCGTGTGGATTATAAATTTGTATTTCACGTCTCTCTTATGAATTATTTCGTGCATATTACTCACCAAGAACCTCGCTAATGAGCGCATCTCAACTTCAGCGTGTGGGAATTCCCAACTTCAGGATTGGTAGCTAAAAAGCGTTGAGGTCTCCTTAATTGAATGGCTTCCGTCTATTTGGAACTTAACTTTCATGCGAATGCTTGTCACTGTTAGTGAAGATTTAAATATTTTAGCCCTCAAGCATTGCTGCTCGAAATTGCATGTCATATTTTTAGTACAAAAATTTTCATTGCCAAACCAATTAACTTGGACGTAGGAAAGTTCGGAATTTAATCGCTTCTCTTTAAAAAAAATCGCGAGTTTATGCCTGATCTTTCACATGTTAGTAAAATTTTTTTTTATTTCTCGTAGATTGCATTCTAAGCTTTATTAATTGACTTCTCCTTTTCCGATTTTCGTTAATCTGACACTGGATTTATTAGTAAAACATGAATCGAAAACGACGGATTGTAACGATCTTCTGCTGTGTTTCAACCATGACATCTACAATGGCCAAGCAAACATTCTTAAAAAATGTTCCTAAATTTGATTCTGGCATCCATAAATCTTGGCGACTATCCTTGGTACATCTGCGAGACGTAAGCTTCGGTAACCATGAATTAATGGCTGTCGTATGGAAATAGTTTTTGTCATGACTTGCTAACACTAGTGTTCAGTGAGTAATTACTTCCACTAGTTTCAAACAGAACACTATCTCTTCAAGTCTTGTTGGAAAGTGGTCGAATTCTAACGAGGTGTTATGATAAATCAGTCTAGAATGACGCATAAAAATGAAGGCTTCAGTTTTTCTCACCCATGTGAAAAATAATGGTCTGACCCAAGACTAAAATTGCAAGTGGGGTGGTAGGTGCATGACTAGCATTTTTTAAAGCTCGAGAGTGAGAATATTTCAATATATATAATTTTCTGAGATTGAACCCATGTAGACACACTAACACGATGTACTTCTGTTTACCTATGAGCTAAGTTTTTAGTACCAGAGATTGAACCCATGTAGACACATATGCAATGGACTTTTGTTTACCTATCAGCTAAGTCTTTAGTAATAGATTGAACCCATGTAGACACACTAACACGATGGGCTTCTGTTTAACTATGAGTTAAGTCTTTAGTTCCTGAGATTGAACCCATGTAGACACTATATAATATACGATGTATTCCTGTTATTTGCATAATTTGGGCTACGGAAAGTTTCAGGCCATTTGAAGAATTTCGCTCAAATCATGATTTTCAGTACTTTATCTTATCGTTTCAGTGCCTTATCTTATCGAGGCAAATTTCTCGTGCTTATTTTCGTGTCAAAATGAAATACTCTGTATATTGCAATTAAATTGCAAATTATTAATTTCCACATACATATATGAAATGAGAAAATTAAATGCAATTTCACGCCCGTATTCTCTTCCCGTGGCTCGAGGCAATCAGCAGATTTAGTTCGGCAGATAAATTAAAGTTTTAATGCAGCAATAAATTTCATAATTTGGATTTTATTGACGCTGCGAGTAACTAACCGTTTTCAAGATGCTTATTGAATCGGCCAACGTCATGCAGAAAGGAAATTTTTCCTGTGTTTACTTCAGCTTTCCTACAATCTTTTTTATTTGTAGCGAGGCTTGCGCTCTGTAAGTACAAGTATCTCGAGTCGTAAGTCAAACGCTTCTTAATCTCGAGTTCATGGTAAATATCCTGCGTCGGCGTATTTCATCTGCAATGACAGCAATCTACTCCGCAATGGACTTCCCGAGGTGAAAGCAACGATCGCGTCAGACTTTTAGTTCATCTCTCAATTGTTTAAATGTTTTCTCATATGAGAGCTTCCATCAATTATTGTAAGATGATGATATAATCCAAAGTTCATACTCGTTGCTCAATTTCGATTTGTGCAGTCAAGTTTTATTCAAAAATGTTTACCTCCAACACGTCAACAATAACAACAATATTGAAACAAAATTAATTTTGCGTGTGAGAGGTATGAATGCTAAATTCATTGTTTAATGTTAAGTGCAATGTTAAGTTAATGCTTGAGCGCAGGAAATGTATTCACTTTATGAATATTATTAATTTACATGCATGCCCACCTCCCTAAAACATGGCCTTGGTTTGGAGGACCTTCCGATAACTGGGTCATGATCATACACGTGTGAAAAAGCTTAGCTGGCGACTTTTTAAATGAAAAAATTCATCACCGAAAAAACTCATGCTGTGATCAAGAAAAAACTCCACCATTACGCCCATGAAATGATATGTTAAATTCTCGTGCATACCTTTTATTGCATGAATATGCTTCCTGCAGTA